AAGATTAGCTCTGTTCCCTTAGGGCTTCTCTCCTGGATTATATGAACAAACCTATCAACTCCTGCTTTGTCCACACCCTATGCTGGCCTGTGCAGCAAACCTGACCATGCTACTCCCACTTTAGAAGCCTTTACCTCTCTCCATTGTCCTCAGACAAAAAAGCCCAGACTGAGTGTTGAAACAAGAACAAAGTATTTGTGGTTGTCCAAACAAATGAAGCACACCTCTAAAAGAACTGTCACCTTCTCCTACTGGGAATTAGTGCAGTGTTCCCACAGGCTCTTGGGAGTGGACAGCCTGGATTAAATCCTGGGTCTGCCACCTAGTGGTATAACCTTGAAGAAGACTTGACTTGTCTGAGGTCCAGTTTTCCCCTCTGTAAAATGGGGATAAAAAATAACATCCACACTCAAGAATTGTTGCCAGAATTAAAGTAGATGGAGTCTCTAAAAACTCTTCTGTGGTTAAATTAGAAACATTACCCTCTGGCAGTTGAAGAGAATAGAAGAAATGTCTCATCTCATTTATTCTCAGATTTTGTAAAATAGATAGGCTAGACCTTCCCACTTTACAGGTAGACAATAGACACTCCATGAGCTTGACTTGCCTGGTCTCCTTTGGCTGGAAAATGACAGAGCTTAGTTTCAAGACCAGGTTTTTTTGGAGTCTAATTCTGCCTTTGTCCCATGAGGACTATAACCTCCAGTCTCCAATGCCATAAAGTTAGACATTGCCCAGGGGCTCTTTGGAAATTTCTTCAGTAGCTTACAGGTCAATAGATTTGTGAGCTTCGTTGAGTTTCAGGGGAAGAGGGTATAAACAGCCAGGGTCAGGCCTTCCTGGAAACAGCCCTTGTGATCTGGCATCCTGGGAATTTGCCCAGCTAGGCTTGTGACACTTGTCCAGACTGTGCTTCATGCAGCACTTGCCACAATTTCCGTGTGCCCTGAGCGTTCATCCACCAGGGACCCGTCAGGACAGGCATGTTACCATGTAGCTCAGCAGCCTGGCAGGGTTTTCCTAACCCTACCTGGCCACAAGCACCCGTCAAGTTTGTCAACTTCTTTTTGTTTTGGGAATTATTGAGAAATCTGTTGGAGTAAGTAAATATGCTTGAGATGCCCCCCCCCCAGTATCTGGCAATGCAAAGTGCCCAGGGAAAAAGCATTGCAATAGTCCTTTCCATCCCTAACACCGAATGCTACTTTCCAGCCAGAAAACTTATTTCCAAGTGGTCATTGGTCCAAAACTCTACATTATTCTGGATTTCAACCATGTAGTTTAGTTTAAAATATGAGCAGCCACTTTCCAGTTACTTTGCTTAGCAAGTATTTTCTCTCCCCCTAGTTGGCATGCAGGGCCTGTCGTAAGCATGGACACCATTCAAGTGTTGCATTTTCTTTCTCCAGACTCCTCCCAAGCCCAGAGAAGGTTAGAAATTCCAGAGAACTCCTAGTCCCAAACTGTATCTCTCTGCCAGGTTCAATCTTCTGATCCAAGCAAAAAAGTGAAATTGACAAGTTCCTTCTTCCCCTGGAGGTCAGGTTTATGATATAAATCCAAAAATAAAATCTAGCTCTCCTGGCAACTGGTCTGTCCAGTTTCAGCCGGACTCCTTGTCCTGTGGGACTTTTATTTGCAAGGGGATATTCAGTAGAAGAAAAACAATATTTTATCTCATATACTAAGGTCTGAGGGCCTCAAATAATTAGTCCTAGTGAGGAACAGCAGTTTCAAATACATCTGGTTTTCTGTGTAGTTCAGGAGTCTTGCTTTGTCTCGTTCGGAATAGCAACTTTCTGCTAATTTTAACAAGCACTTTGGTGCATCTTCTGTGCCTGGCACGATGCTCATTGTTTTGAGGAGTCTTTGGATGTATATCCTGCCTTTTGAGAGACTTCCACCTAACAGAGAACAGACAGATACCAGGAGACCATAACTAAGAGTGAGGCCTGCACAGTGTGTGGGAGCTCAGTAAGGACCCACCACAGACCTAAAGGGCAGGAAGGTCTCATGAAAATGAAAGATCCTGAATGAGGCTCTGGAGCAAAGTGCTTCTCCAGTGTAAATAGACCCTGATTTATGTTTGCTTCACTTGTTACAACAGCTCCCAACAGAGAGAGGTGAGCTATGTCTAAGGTCCAGGACTCTAGTCAAAAACATGCCCGAGCTCTGGAGCTTGGGACACCAAGAATCCTAAATTCTCCTTCTAAATTATGACTAACTTCCTGTAACCTTGGTATTCAGCTGGAAAAGATATTATTATGCGAAGGAGGCTTACCCACTGTTGTTAACCTCACTCAGTCCACTCCTTCAATTTTAAATCTACATAACAAAAATGATTAGCAAGCCAAACAATTTAGAAGCTTCTCTCTCTTATACTCAAACTCCATTTAAAGTATAGGACAGCTTCCTCTCACTCAGATTCCTTCCTCTCACTCAGATTCCTGTCCTCATGCCAGGTGGTCCAAGATGGCTGCTTGAGCCACAGGCAATCACACCTGTTTTCCAGTGAACGAGAAAATATGAACATGCTCCTCTTTTTAAGGACAATTCTTAGAAGTCAGATTGCATTTTATTTTTTTGCTAGAACTTAGCTATAGGACTATATCTACCAGCAAAAGGACCTAAAAAATGTAATTTCTTAAATTTATGTATTTATGTTACATGCCACCCAGCTCCTTGTTTTTTGTTTGTTTGTTGGGGGGGGTGGTTTTGTTGTTTTTGAGACAGGGTCTCACTAAGTTGCCCAGGCTGGCCTGGACCTTAAGATCCTCCTGAGTCAGTCTCACAAGCTGCTGGGACTACAGGCACGTACACCACACCAGGCTAAAAAATGTTCCCTTAACTGGAGGTGACCAGATGTGTCTAGCAAAGAAGGTTTAGGTTGCTGAGGAAGGATAAAACACGGGGACACAGCCTGTAGGAAAAGCCATCATCTTTGATACCTTCAGCTGCCACACTTTTGGGTCTACAGTGTGACTCCCCTTTGTTTGCAGGGTCAGCCTCCCTAGTATTCAGAAATAAGAATGAAGCTGAGTGTGGTGGCACACTCCTCTAATCCCAGGGACTGGGGAGGCTGGGGCAGGACAATCACAAATTCAAGGTCATTCTGGGCAATTTGGCAAAATTCTGTGTCAAAATAAAAAAAAAGAAAGAAACAAAAATTATTGTAGATTGTGTTCTCCCAAAATTCATATGTTGAAACCCTACCCCTAACCCCTCCTTGGGACAGAATTAAGAATTAGGTGTTGGGCCTTTGGGAGGTGGTTAGGGTTAGTTGAGGTCATGACGGTGGAGCCCTTATGTGTGGGGGGGAGGGGATTGGTGTTCGTTATAAGTCACAAGAGCTTGCTTCTCTTTGCTCTCCACTATGGGAGGATACAAAGAGAAATCAGCAGTCTGCCCAACCATGCTGGCACCTTGGTCTTGGCCTTCCAGGCTCCAGAGCTGTGAGAAATAAATTAATGCTGTTAATAAACCACCCAGTCCACGTTACAGCAGCCTGAGCTGACGAAAAACAATGGCCTACGACTGGGCACCCAGATTCTTGATTCTACAAAATTAACTCACTCTTTCTCTCTCTTAGGCACATTCAAATAGGAGGAACTGAAAACATTCAGGATGAAGTTCAAGCCATGTAGCTCCATAGCAGCAAGGGATCAACCCCTAAAGAGGCCAGGGACTGATTATGGGCACTGGAAATAATGCAC